TTAGTTGCAATTTTCAAGTCCCATATGGAAATTAAAAAAATATGCTACATATATCCTATACCACATAAGTTAGTAAAGAATTAACGACAGAGAAAATAAGTTCAATTTTTTTTGATTATCAACTTCAGGGTCATTTTAAAAAATATCTGGTACTTACAAGAGAGAAGTATTTCTAAAACTCCAAAAGAAAACATAATCTAACTAAGGAAATTATGTGTATAAATATCATATTTTATAACAAAGTAAAATGATTGTTTGCATTAATAGCCCATAGCTAGATGAAGTCTGTTTAGCTAAAATTCTTTTGAAATTGAATATTTAAATATATCAAATATACCATGATGTATATTTCATTACTGAAAGTCTATGCAATCTTTCTCAATCAGTCTTGAATCTGGAGTCATTAGTTAGCTCTCATCTTCTTGTCCCTCATAGGAAATAATTGACTCTAGACTAGATCTCAATGCCTCTAGACCAACAGATCTCAAGGTGAGGTCTCTCAACCATTAGCACGGACATCACCTGGAAACTTGTTAAGAAAGAAAATGTTCAAGCTTGTCCCCACTTTTACTGAGTGAGCATACATCTCTGGGTGTGGAGCCCAGCAAGATGTGTTTCAAATATCCTCCAAGTACATAACATAGTCACTATGCTAGATTGACATTTACTTTCCATTCCTATAGCTACTCCATTATTTGAGGTCATCATGGTCTCTGGTAAGACTATGACTTACTGGTGTCCCTACATCTTGAAATTATTTAGTTGAATTCTCCTCACAACTAACACTGAACTAATCTTTCAACAGCACATGAAAAAGAAAAACAAAATTCCTACTGAATTAAGAAGTTATCACTTCCCCTTCATATTGAGTCTAACTATCCTCTAAGCTGTATTTTCCTGCCCTCTATTCCATTAGCAATCTGAACTTGCTTTGCATGGAACACATGTGAGTTTTCTCACAGGTATATCAAGAATTGCAACCTCTTCTGTGTGCTAGAGTGACTGTCAAATTCACAAATCATACAAGCAATTCTCAACCCAGCATCCAGGTACATATCTTGCTCCGCCACTAAACAATAAACTCCTTAAATCTATCACATCTTACCTAGGAATAGAGTCTAGGGAGGATCAGTATTGTGACTTGAATATATTGTATGGTTGGTAAGAGAATTAGTCCAAATTGCTCCCTTTTCTCAATTCTTCCTTCTTTAGTTCTTTAAGATCCATCTCAACTATCGTCTCTCAAATTACTAATTCTCCTTCTCCAACTTGGCTCCTGGGAGAATGAAGAGGAGTAAAGCTGCCATAAATAACAGAACTAGGCAGTAACTTTATTTTTGCCTTTCTGTGTTTCTGTTTCCTGGTACCTTCTATTCCTGATAGCATCCCTTTCCCTTAGCTATGCCACATGCTCAGATGCCCTAAAGCATAGAAAGTTGAGACAAAGTGTCATTTCTCATTGATTTTATCAACTTTACTCAGGACTTTAAAATGATCCTTACTTCACTTTTTAATCCTGTGTTTCTTCATTAAAACTACCATCTCCTCACACTGATTTCATATCGTTTAGGAAAGATTAGGATCTTTCAAAGCCATTTAATACTGGCATAATCTAAATGAAATATGAAGAAGTAGTATTTGACCTATTTGAAGGAACCGCATTTGGAACAGGCAGAACTCTCCCGTATTTTTTTTATATTAGCGGCCAGAAGAAGAAATGAGTTATTACTCCATTTTTTCCATTTATTTTTGTCTCAATCCTAAAATATTTGCCACTCAAGTCTAATATGTCTAATAATCAGAAAATGATTGATATAGATTGTTTTCTACCATTTCATGTCTGCATAACAATTGGTATATTTCCTAAATATGTATTTTGCATATCTTGTATCATTTGATCCTCATGAAAAATCTTGATTTAAAATAAGACTTGAATTGTCTTCCTAATTATTTAGATGAAAATGAGGCTCTGAGAATTAAAGGGGAATATCCAAGATCACATAACTTGTAACATGCTCAGCTCCTACTCAAAGCAAGTTTTGTGAGTTCAAAGTTAATAACTTTTCTTCTCATACCACTTCTTATTAATGGATAAAATTACCACTAAGAACTGCATGTAAACAGACAAGTCTTCAGTCAACGTCAACCATTGCTCATTGCTTTCTGGGTTGTAGAATTTACTGTTATGGCCAATCCATGTGGGAGACGTTGGAGTATGCAACATTGCATTCATCACTGAGAAGTGGATGGATATAAGAGCCACCAGTGAGTTTTCAGGATAATCTCTTCCTCTACTCAATTTCCTTTTGTAGTTGACCTTCAAAATGCTATTCAGGAATTTATTCTTACATTAGCTCTATGATTTAATGTAATATTCAGTCCTAGCCTATGTTTGTTTTTTTATCACCGTACATTTTTCTCAGCTTATTTCAGTTTTGAATCCTAATCACAAACTCAACTACAGAAAGGTCATAGTCACTAATAATCGATCCCTGCATGAACCCTACTATAAAGGAGCTTGACTTTGGGATCAAAAAACCACCCTTAAGACTCTAGCACTTCCAGAATTCCTTTATTCTATAAACAAAAATACAATAAGCCATTAACTACCTTAAATAGGTTATTGCATCAACAGAAGATTATTGAACTGTCAAATTTAAAATTACTAAGGACCTTTGAACTAATCTAACCCAGAAAATCAACACCATATTCTACTGGATTAACTTGTACCTAATGAACTCAGTCTTAGGAATGACAAAAATAAAAGGACAAAATTTCTTCCCACCTAGGAACTCCATAATTTTCCATTTTATACATTTCAGTTTGAATAACTCTTTGGGGGGTCTGATGTAACTGTTTTATGCTACAAACACTGAAATAGATATGCAGAGAAATCACATATTCTCCCTATTACTGACAGTTAGCCCTAGAGTTCAGTCTTAAAAGTACATTGTTCTCTGCTAGAATAATCTCACTAATGTTTGAACATCTTGAAGATGTATTACTGTTAAGTATATTTTATGATTGCAATATGTATTTGGTTTTGTGTTTGTAAACAGTTCTTAAGCAAATATCTTTACATCCTTGTATCTTTGTACTCGATGTAGCACAATGAAATCTGAGTATCATTCATTGGTACAATGGAACAAATAAGCAAATGATCAGATATAATTTACCTCTGTGCATTTATTTCATCCTGATGGTAAAGCATAATTATCCATTCAGAATCTGAACATGTGGTCAGTATTCCACCTAGTCATTTTGGCTAATTCAGAAATGAAGAATACTTTGAAAGTAAAAATATTATTGTTTTTTAAATCAATATGTAACAGAAAATATTGGTTTGAAATATTTTATTCCTTCACTTGGGCAGAAAAAAAAAGTGCACTGAGTGATTCACCTGATGGATGAGTCTGGAATTAATGCAAATTCACACAGAATATAGAAAAAAAATCTCACAAAATTGTCTTAGTCACAAACTTGCCTTAGCTGAATCTGGAAGATGAATTTTCCAATTTTTAATACCTGAGTCATAATCTTGTGACATAATTTACCTCAAATAATATTATATTTTCTTTTAAATATTTTATAGCTTTCTAATTTATTAAAATTGTACATGATGGGAAGAATATAAAACTTAGTAATGAATTACTAGCATTTTAATGATTGAAATAAATGTCCTTTGTTTATTTAAGTATTATCTAAGTCCTCAATATCTCTAGAAGAAAAAGCAATTAAGTACCAGAGTAAATTCTCAAAAAACAACTATAAACTGAAAATAAAGTTTCAGTCCTTGTTAGATTTTTTTGCAAGTTTCATGGACTACATTTGTGCTTTCAGAAGGCGAGTTTTGAAGTGTCCATGTATCATGTGTATAAACGATTTAGAATCCCTCATCACATTTTATATATTTTGAAATATTCTTCAATTTATTGTAATGACTTAGAAAGTACAGCAGTCATGAAACTATAATACCATTGGGTGTCCATGTTCATGAAAATAATTTTTGAACATCTCTAAGAATTACTACTTACCATTTTGTATCATATTTTCTCATAGATATTTCTTTAAGGTTTTACTCATTCTAGATAGTTTCTAGCAATTAACTATAAATATTTCTTTTATGCATACTTTTATATTTGAAAGCTTGATCATATATTACATTGAAAAAATGTGTCAAGCTACTGTATATAAATTTGGGGGTGATATCTTACATTTAAATCTTCATCAGAGAGGTGAAATACTGAAATAATATATCCATATATTTTTGCAATGTGCTTATCACAGAAGATTTTGTCTCCATTAATTGTTACATAAATATAAAGGCTATCATGCAAAAGTACCATACCTTCTGGTTCTACATTAAGTAGAATAAATAATAAATAGGCATATAAAATTACAAAAAAATAGGATATATAAGCCTTGCAATTACTTGTTTTCATGGCTTGAACATTTCATTATAGTCTAATGGATTTTGTCAGTGTCTGCAACTAGCACAAGCAAGTTATATACAAATGTGTGCACAATAAATAAGGTAGATACAGGCTAGATCACGCAGAAGGTGTACAAGGCTTCGTTTTGGATATTTGATGTACATTACATACACACAATATAATATTTAGCAAAATTTATCATTAGCAATTTCTTAAAATAGATGTCTTTTGTGCTTTTTGTTTTGGCCTGCAGCATGCTATTTGTTACTTTGTTGTAGGTGACCCCTGAAAGTACATATGTAAATGGGTGCAGAATATAGTTTTAGAATAGCTGTGGTAAGAAAACAGAGAGAGAGAGAGAGAGAGAGAGAGAGAGAACGAACACAGGAGAAGAGTGAGATCAATTTATCTCTCATGATAGTGGTAAAATTTCCTTAAACACATTTTGACCTTCGTTTTTCTTTTGCAAACCTTGCTATGGCCTTTGCTTTCCCCCTTCAGAGCACTGCACAACCTTCGCAAGAAATCATTTAGCACTAGTTTCCACCTTGGAGGACATCTTCCTACCTTTCCAGTCTTAATTCTGTGAGAAATTGCTGCAAATCGATGGTTGAGTTCTGAGATTTTGGGCTCTACTATTTTCCTGCAGTGGTCACCACGGTTGGCCATCAAGTTTGCTGCTTGGTCACGTGTGGAATCCACCTTTGAGCGTATGTCATTCATTTCAGCCTTTAAATGCTATATTCCATGAGCAAGAAACAGGGCTTGAAGTTAGTGATGGAAGTAGAGATACAGAGAGAGAGAGAGAGGAGAGGAAAAGAAGAAGGGAAGGGAGGAAGAGAGGGAGAGTTTGTACAGACAGAACAGATAAGGGAGGAACAAAGCCAACTCCCCTAAGATAGAAGTAAATTGGGAACGTGTGATTTAAGAAGGAATCGGTTACTATCTTTGATTAAGTTTAGTGCATGTCCATCTAAATTGTTGATTTAGTGTTAGGAAGAACAAAGGATATTTTCCTGATTTCTCTATATTTTGTCTGCAAGAATCAGGATATTTTAGATTTGGTCTTATTTTATCTTTTGTTTTTACTGAATTTAATAGATGTAGAATAATCTAAATGTGTATTAAGAAGAGAAGGTAGCTGAGGCACATTTTTGTAGTCCTTTCTGGCACTTTTGAGTTCCTCTTTATTTTGTTGAATGTCATGGAAAGATGCTTTTCTAATAATGTGGATTCTGTATTACATACACAGGTATCAAGGAATGTTCATCTTGATCTAAGGTGTCACAGAGTCTATATGATCAATAACAAAGTTCCTGTTATCCCAAAATTCTGGAAGGAGGATAGTGAAATGGCTCATGTGGTAGAGCAACTGCCTTGTAAATGTGAGGCCCTGTGTTCAAATTCCAGTGCCACAAAAAAAAAGTTTAAGTCTAAAATCCTGAAAGGAATTTCACCATAAGATGACATCCTTGACTACATATCAAGAAAGACTAGAAATCACAACACAGATCCTACAAAAGGGAAAATATGTTTGGAGATAGTCTAAAATGCACTTATTTTTTCATTAAAAACGAGTATGTGGAAAATGTCCGTAGCATAAAAGGAGAAAATGAGATCCAGGCGTGCAGGTCCATGCCTTTAATCCCAGAGTTCAGGAGGTTGAAGGAAGGAAAATTATGAGTTTAAGGTCAGAGTGCTCTGCAAAATGAGTTCAAGGCCAGTGTGGCCTATATAGAAATATGTTGTCTCAAAGGCCCAAACAATTTATGCACATATGAATAAAAGAATAAATAAACCAAAAAAAGAAGAAATGAAAAAAAGTATAAAAAACATAATAATAAAAATTTTAAATTGAATTGTAAAGATGGAAACTATATTTATGAGGGTCCTTTATGTACTAACTCATTAGTCACATTCCACTGAAAATTTCAGCAAAACAAAATAAGGAATCACTGATATAAATAAGGTTTGTAAATATTCAATTCTTCCTATTTAATTGAAAAAGGGGATGCCATCAAATAGAAACAATATAATATCAATGAGATATAGTTGCACATTATGTCTCACATACTATGTTATAGGAACCATTTTCAAAGAAAAGTTTAAGCTACCTTAAAGGAAGAAGACTTAGGATGTCTTTGTAATTAGTATGAAAGAGAGAACCTGAATGTATGTTGACATGTGGTAAAATATTAAAATTTCAGTTTCACATAAGCCCAGTACTATGAGTAATTACAGATTTAGTAGCCCTTATTCAAATTATTTGGGAATAAAAGTGTTTTGGATTTTGGACTGTTTATCATTTGGGAAAATTTGCACATGCATAACGAGATATCTGTGGCTGAGACCCAACACTAAATAGAAAATGCATTTACATTTCATATACACATAGCATAAAGGTGATTTTATATAATATTTTAAAATAATTTTATGCATGAAACAAATTTTCACAGTACGGCTTTTTCCACTTTCAGCATCATGTTAGCATTCAAAAAGTTTTGGATTTTGGACCATTTTGAATTGGGATATTTTTGGATCAGGGATGTTCAACCTGTGCTAATATTGGTATATGACATAGGCAAAATATCCAAATGATCTCATTTCAGGTTGTTAACTCAGATGGGATGTATGAATGATGGCAAGAAACTGTGCTTTATGCTTGATATAATGGCATAATACTACCATTAAAATAGGCAGGATTTTCAAATATAATATCAAAATAAGTCCTAAACTCCCTTTCTGAGCAGAGTTTAATATAAGTATGATTAGCTGAGGAGTGGATTTGGACAGAGCCAGATTATAGAACTCTTCAATGTCATTAATATCTATTCAAAGGAGGAAAGTAGGAAAAAGGAAAAATAGATGAAAGGAAGGACAGAAGGATTAAGAAAGGAAGGAAGGAAGGATATAATGATTGATAGTTTCACTCTTATTAAGAAGTGTATTTTTGAGAAAATATGATTGACATAATTTATACAGCTTAAAGATTAATTTTCACAATATTTTATTTGCTACCTTAAGTATGTCTTCTTTTTGCTGTGATTTCTTTTTCTCAGATTCATCCAAAAGTGTATCAGCTTCAATGATCCACCTTGTGATGTAATCCACATTCTGGTGAAAGGTTTCCATGTGTTTCTGGTATTCCTTAATTGTACAGAGATATACCATAACATTACTGGTTAGACAATATTCCTAAAGTATTTGTTCTACTTTCTATAGTTAGAAAAAGGCAAAATATATTATCGTTCAAATTAATTTGAAAAGATAGCACAAATGTAGAGAAAATATGTTAAAATATAGCTATATTATATAAAATATAGATATCTATAGATACAAAATAAAGAGCTAGCATATACATTGAGTGGAGAAATTTTCAAACACAGTTATTATTACTTAAATGTCTATGGAATATTTTTCCTCATGAAAAAGAGGGATGGAAAAACCTTCTAGTTTCTTACCAACAAAAGGTTTAACCATTCTTCTGCTCGGGAGGTAACAGCTATCCAATTACTATTCAGAAGACTGAGTTTATCTTCCACCAAGGTCTCCTTCTTGCCCAACACAGTTTTCAAGGCTTCCGCTAGCTCCGTGACACTCTTCAAGTGAACCTTCTGTTTTTCAACCTCTTTCTGAGTAGCCTGTGAAAAAGATAGCATTGACTTTTAAGTAACATATTATAGCCTGAAGATTTGATATTTGTGAAAGGGCTGTCTGTATGGTTTCTATGCAGAGACTTTGTAAGGTTTTAAACATATAGCCCTGTGTTTATGAACCATGAAATTATACCATGTACACTGTAGTTCCATTACTATATATATTAAAAAATGTGACTAAATTCTTATTTATTAATGATTACATAGACTCAATAAATTACCCAACTACAGCTACATATATTTATATTTGCTTCATTTGTAAAAGTAGTACCTAAAGACAGACATTTGAAGACTCATACACAAATTAGGACCTGTCTTTAGCAAATTAAACAAATATGTTAACTAATAAGATCTAGCATTAGATCTTTAAGAATAATTTCAATGCAGAGATGAGTGTGACTGACATAAGTTTATGTAATGACAGATAAGATAAAAACATCTGTCATTTCTACTGGTGACAAACTTACAGGTACTGCTAATGTTGAAGTGTGCTCACATTTATAACTTAAAAATGTCTAATTTCAGTTATTGGTGAATTAAAATAAAGATGCACTTTTTTCCAATACAAGTTTACAAATCTCTATTCTACCCACATATCCTAGATTAAAATCCCCTAAGAGACAACCATTATTTCCTAAACTTGATTTGTAAAATATGGTAATAATCACATTTACCATGAGAAAATATAGAGAAATGCGTTGGAAAAACTGAAAATAGTACAAATGATTCCTGCTTGCCCTACCTGCAACCCCTTTCTTGGGATAAGGCATGACTGACCACATGACCATGTTGTGCTTCCCTGCCTTTGTTCCCAGTTCTTTCCTTCCTGCCTAGACAGCAAGTATTGGAAATTACAGGGAAGTAAGCTAGAGCTCAACAGATTCTTTCTCCAAAAGGTTAACTGGGATTTCCTGAAAATATAATTAGAACATGAGCTGAAAAGTCATTTGCAAATGGAATTAATGTCTTTATTATAGAAAGCCAAAGTCAAAACAAGACAAAATCACTGAGGAGCAGAAAGCAGAGAGAGTCCATCTGCAGAATCAAATATGTGCAGAGAGAGTAAAATAAGTGGTTCCTATAAAGAAAAATATATCTCTGTAAGAAAAGTATAGATCCTATTTCTTAAAATACTTTCATTGTGAATTTTGTGTCTTTATAATATACCAAGTAGTCTTTGTGGCTGTCTCTTCTCCACACCATCAGGTCCTGCTCCACTCATAATCACTAAGCACTTTTTTGTTCTTTCCTTGAAAATCAAATCAGCAGGCAGAATAAATGAGATTTTAAATATTGTATGAACACACTTTGTATACAAGAAGGTATCACTGTTTCTTTAATTCTATGATATCATTTCATATTTGTACTTTTCTTTTTAATGTAAAAATGCTGGACATTGAAGGCATTTATGCCAAATGATTTTATCTGGTATCACAGAGGGGATTTTTTGTAATGTAGGTGTCATGTGCTGCATATGAGTGAGCTCAACATTTCATAAAAGAAGATCATTTATATGACCATCATAGATGTTTCTTTATACTCATATTAGATGGCAGCTGCTATTATAAAAGGGGTCATGGGTGATACTATTTAATGTTTCTTGGGAAATTATGAAAAGCTTCCCATTTGGGTGGATACAGCTCCTTTCGAGTTTGACTTATAAGTAGACATGGACTAGATTTCAGTCCTTTCAGTACTTTACTTACATCCTTTGATAGCATAGAGAAAGAATATAATTGCTGGGGAAAAGACTTGTAATGTCTGGGATAAGCATGAATGGTTTTGAAAGACAGGTGACATTTGAAGCAGGACAGTTGGATGGTTAGGATTGAGAAAAAATGTACAAAGTGATTAGGTGGTATGAAAGCTGGAATCAAAGATCAGTAAAAGGACTATATGGGGGAATTATTGAAACTGAAATACTTTTTATGAGATTGTTAAACCATTTTTTCTTGCACTAATACTTTTTTACAACAGAAGAATGTATGCACCTGCAGATAGATGGGAAACTAAACTAAAGCTACTGCTTTTGCCATTCTTTTTATACATTTATTCATTCCTCTTTAAGAAGCTAGAGCTATTTATGAAGGTGGCAAGATTAGAGAAAGAACTGAGCATTCATGGCACTTCAAAAGGATTCAATCCTCAGCACACATGGATTCTTTTCTTGCCTTTTGGAATGAGGAGTGAAGAGGGTTCTGTAAGATCTAATCTTCTGGAGAGTGTTTCAACTTAAAGACTAAGTTGACCAAATTATAACTGAGGTCATTCAGTGTTTCTCATGCATAATATGTCAGCTACTAGAGCTGATTTTAAGGCTGAAGTAAAAAGTAAGACTGTATACATCAAATTTTATTTGGATCTATGAGATGATTTTAAATTCATTATAGACATTCAAGAGAAGCTAAATGTGAACTATGTAACTGACACTAAGGGTTTATATGACATAGGAAATTACCTGATATGGGTAGAATTCAACTTAAATATAATAAGTTCCACAAACTCTAGCATATTTTTATTTTCCACGTGTTTAATTTACAATAGTTGCTAGCTCCAAAATAAATACTATAAGTATTAGTTCATTAACTTCCATGAGTTCAAATAAATAATTTTTCATTATGTAGCTATCATAATTTTTAAAGACTAATTTACTTATAATGAAAGAATGGACAGAATATGATAATTTCTTCTTGGGAAAACAGGTATTATGTTCATTGAAAGGATGCAAAATACATTGACTCCTCATACCTATTTATTAAGTTGATTATTAAAATTTTAAGTGTCATAGTAGGTTTAGGCTCAGTCATCAGCTCATCAACTCACTTCATTGATGTAGAAACAGGATGGTAAAACCTGTTCTACTAATCCCTCCTGATTTTCTTTAAAGATACAATTGTAAAATGTATTGGAATAATTATTCGACCACATGGAAACAACATGCACAGGTATTTTCTTCGACCACATGGAAACAACATGCACAGGTATTTTCTTCAAAGGTTAGGAAACATGCCTCACTTGGGCTTGACTCTCCTGTCCCCCAATTTTACATATTCCCAAGTTTTACAATGCCTTTCACAAGTTTACTGGGAATTTCCCATAGGGACATAAATTCTTAGGATAACTTCTCTATTGTATGTCCTCTTATTTCCAACTGGCCTCTTTAAAATTTTACATTTCTTACTCATCTACTGTCGTATTTGTTGTATCTTCATCCAGTCCCACATTTATAAAAGTGCATGCCTTGATACCATTTCCTTATATGTTTCCCCTTTACAAGGCTACTACTAAATTCCTCTTTATTTTAGCTTTCTATTTATCTCTTGTTCATGTTCCCTATAATGTGAATTAACTAACATAAACTCATAAAAGATATCTTAAAATATCTTCCTACCTAAGTGAATACTGTATATAGTCAGTCTAGGCAAAAATTAAACCATTTCTGAGCATTGAGAGTGGGAGACAGTTCTTTCTTCTTTTAGCTATGTGATATATTCATTTGAAAAAAAATTGAACAAAGCACCATATTGCCAAAATGCTAAGATGTATGCTTATCACATTTTGAGATTTTTGAATTAGAGGTGAGACATACAACTTAAAATTGCCTTTAAAGTGGTAGAATATATATTTTGATACTCAACAGCTGTGATCAAATCAATAGTGCATTATACAATCTAACATATCTTAAACATTATGGAATTTGACATTAATTGCTTTTTCAGGCCCTTGCATTATTCTATCATGGCTCAAGGTTTAGAATATATTTTACTATCAGGGTAATGTGAAGGAATAATATAATTACAGATTAATGAAGAATGTGAAACATTAAATGCTAGATTTTATAGCAATGTGTATTGACTATTTATTAATAATGTATTGCCTATTAAAGAAGAATTTCATGAAAACGGAATATGCAGAACAGAAATTATAGCTATAACTATAATGACAGTGAATAGTGACTTCAATGGCATTTAACAGATGTTTTATTTTCTACGTAACAGCTGCTTGGTACATTAACTGTACCAAGTTAATGATCTGCTAGTATTATTTCACTTTACAGATAAATTACTATGTTGTCTTTTAAAAAGATATGTAATTTTCATGAGAATGATTGTATAACAGACTTTAGAATAAGTAGCAGTTTTCATGGTTTTGTACCTAGGATGAGAGATGAATTGAGCCAATTATCCAGATAGTGTATGAGTAGAAACCAGATTTCTTTACACTGTGAAAGCTGATTGTTTAATAAATTTCTAGGCATGGTTAATGGAACTGGATGTAAATCCCATTGGATTGCTTGAAATTCATGGATCTTGCTTATATGATATTGCCCAGTGGTTCTCAACTTTGCCAAATAAGTATTAGAGTCAAAGGCTACACTCAAACAGACCAATGAAATCAGAATCTCTGGGCAGGGGTTGGTTCTCAGACACTGTTATGCTGTCAAAGAATCCCAGATGATCTAAAACTATAGCCAATGTTGAGAAATACTGAAGAATAAAGACATATTCTGTCAGGAAATTTTATTGGATGAAAGTCATTAAATTTTAGAAGCAAAGGGACAACAGAAGGGTAATTGAGGAAATTAATAAGCTTTCTTTTTGATACTGAGTATTATGAGAACTGGTCCCTGAAATAAATGTGAAATTTACAATAACCTGTTATTGTAAGACATCAATTATCTTCAATTATTTAATATGCTGAATTAAATTCAACATTTTCTCTTTGTGGTTCTCTCAAGCATGTCTTAGTGCATTGAGACAACTGTTATAAAATCTATTAGTCAATTTATAAAAATTATAAATATGAATTATCAAAACAGTTTGTGGGTTTAGTATATTCTAGGACAAAAACTATCTTTCCAGAGAATCATATTTAACCATTTTAATTTCTGTATGGCACCATGAATATGAGAGGAGTCTAGTGAAACTGAATTATTTAACTAACTTGAAATTTTTAATGAATAATACTAAATTAGAAATAAATGA